TATTATTATGATTAGTACTATTTCTATTACTAGCATTAGATCTAGTATTAGCATTATTTTACGTATTTTTATTATTCACGAAAGTATGTACAAGTATCTATAGCTTTGCCCAAACCACTTGTACCGACCTTGCAGATCTCTCCGTTTCCCATCGCCGCTGCCAGGATGATCGGCGCTCTCAGCCCAACTTTCCTGCCCAGGTTCACATCAGCCTGACCCTCCCTGACCAGAACCTTGACCGTTCGCTCACAGCCGTAGCGCACAGCCCAGTAGAGAGCAGAAGAACCTGACATGAAAGACGAAGAAAGGAGAAATGCTACATTCGTGTTGAAATTCGCAGGTTTTTTACTTAAGAGGTCATCTATAGTGGGGTCAAAAATTCGTGGCGCAACTTTTCCTTAAATATCCCGTGAATCAATGCCGCCCATATTTTGCGCTGCATTTTGCATGAATTTGTCTTAACTTAATCATACTTTTTCACAACATTTGAGACTAGAATGAAAAGCTTTTCTTCATAAATTTATAGAAAGTATTGTTACTCTCCGTCGCGCTAAAAAAAATGGTCTTGTTCAAGGCACTTCCCACTTCTAACATTAACACACATTTTGTATACGTATGTGGCCTACGTCACAGCTCACCAATGGCAATTTTAAATGGCAAAACTTGTTACAAGAAATTTATTTCATAGTGAACATATGTTTTGAAATAACCGCTTTCAAAACATGCATTAAATTAACCATAGGGTTGCAATTAGGGAAAAAAATGACGGATTTGCTTTTGAAAGCGATACTGTCCCAGTTGTAAATCTTTTAAGATCTGTAGAAATCACGCACTTGCACTTTTTTTGCTACTTATTGTTTATTAAGCAAGTTTCTAGAATACAACAAACAAGCGTTTTCAGAAATATTGATCTATTAAGACAAATTGATACAACTCAATGTGCAAAAACTGGAGAGTCTTTGTTCGATAGTTTAGGAAATATTTGACATTAAGTTGCGCAATGAATTTTGACCGCACTAAAGAAGAGATAACTGGCGTCAAATTATAATCAAAAGGAAGTGTTACAAGTTGTTGAAATATGAGTTTCATTTGCAAATTTCCATAAAATATCCAGTCTTTTCGTCTCTTTGTGAATGTATTTTTTGCTCTCTCTCAGTGTCTCTTTATGAATGTATTTTTTGCTCTCTCTCAGTGTCTCTTTATGAATGTATTTTTTGCTCTCTCTCAGTGAGTGGTCCTGTTGTGCGATGTATTGTGCCGAGTACGACGCCAGACTTCAAGTGCGACAGGAAAATCCTCCGTGATACGACTTTCTCTACAATTATGCAAACATTTAATTTCTTTTTATGTCGACAAGATCAAAATCGATTCGTAGTTTCTGTCTTTCATTTTACTTTGTCGACGGAAGTCCAAAACCATGTGCCAGCTGCTGACTTTTGTACGAATGTCTTTCCAAATTTCGTTCTTGTTCTCAGTAGCTCGAGTTGTTTTGTTTTGGTTTTTTTGTTGTTTTTTTTTAACATGTAGGTTCAGGATTGTTATCAGAATTTATGGTCACTTTGTGGTAGCAAAAA